AGATTTTCTATGGGGTTAAGGTCAGGAGAGTTTGCTGGCCAATTAAGAACAGGGATACCATGGTCCTTCAACCAGGTACTGGTAGCTTTGGCACTGTGTGCAGGTGCCAAGTCCTGTTGGAAAATGAAATCTGCATCTCCAAAAAGTTGGTCAGCTGCAGGAAGCATGAAGTGCTCTAAAACTTCCTGGTATGTGGCTGCGTTGACCCTGGACCTCAGAAAACACAATGGACCAACACCAGCAGATGACATGGCACCCCAAACCATCACTGACTGTGGAAACTTTACACTGGACTTCAAGCAACGTGGATGAAGTGCCTCTCTTCTTTTCCTCCAGACTCTGGGACCTTGATTTCCAAAGGAAATGCAAAATTTACTTTCATCAGAGAACATGACTTTGGACCACTCACCAGCAGTCCAGTCCTGTTTCTCTTTAGCCCAGGCAAGACGCTTCTGACGCTGTCTGTGGTTCAAGAGTGGCTTGACACAAGGAATGCGACAGCAGAAACCCATGTCTTTCATACGTCTGTGTGTGGTGCTTCTTGAAGCACTCACTCCAGCTGCAGTCCACTCTTTGTGAATCTCCCCCACATTTTTGAAGGGGTTTTGTTTCACAATCCTCTCCAGGGTGCGGTTATCTCTCTTGCTTGTACACTTTTTTCGACCACATCTTTTCCTTCCCTTCGCCTCTCTATTAATGTGCTTGGACACTGAGCTCTGTGAACAGCCAGCCTCTTTAGCGATGACCTTTTGTGTCTTGCCCTCCTTGTGCAAGGTGTCGATGGTCGTCTTTTGGACAACTGTCAAGTCAGCAGTCTTCCCCATGATTGTGTAGCCTATAGAACTAGACTGAAAGACCATTTAAAGGCTTTTGCAGGTGGTTTGAGTTAATTAGCTGATTAGAGTGTGGCACCAGGGGCCATCAATTTTGAACCTTTTCACAATATTCTAATTTTCTGATATGATGAATTTGAGATTTTCATTTGTTGTCATTTGTAATCATCAAAATTAAACAAAATAAACATCTGAAATATATGAGTTTGTATGTAATGTATGAATATAATATACAAGTTTCACTTTTTAAATGGAATTACTGAAATCAATCTACTTTTTCATGATATTCTAATTTTATGACCAGCACCTGTACATGTTTAAGCCAGATTGATTTGACATTTAAATATGATTTCACTGCGACTTTAATATTTAGCCTTGATTTGAAATGAAAAAGTTAGAAAACAATTATTGGGATTTTATGTAAACCACAAGGTAATGCTTCAACAATTGTCTAAAGCACATAATGGCCTAGTCAAAGTCCAGATTATCTATTGAATGCCATTCTTTTCAGGTTATTATTAGAAAGAAGTGTTGAAAACCATCCACCATCTTCTGTTTGCATCCAAACATCTGAGGTAAAATCCCAGTGAAATTCATCAAACCTTCTATGTAAGCTGGAGCAAACTCTGCAGAAACATAAGATATCCTTTAGAATCAAGCCTGGAAGCAAATGCAAACTAAACAGAGCCTTAAAGAAGAAGGAACCCTGAAAAAATAAGGATGAAGGGACAAATCCTTAAAGCAGCAGCTTTGTATTCTGCTCAGCACTAAAACGGAAAGAAAAACACTAAGATTTAGCAGCAGCACTGATAGAAAACAGATGGCTGGCCTCCCTCTTCCCCTCTGGTCTGGACCTAAAGCAACGAGGAGTGTCTGAACCAAAGGGTCCAAAGCTGCTGGCAAACACAGAAAAGAAATTGGAGAAAAGCACACGAGCATTCATCCATCCACAGTGAAAACAGTAAAATACTGACGACGACCCTGAAACCATTCAATCATACCACAGGCGCACACACAGAGAACCCAGCAGCAGTTGGCAGCTGATAAAACTGCTCCAAGTAGTCAACTTCACCTTCCAAGTCTGTCACGCCTTGGCCCTCACAGTCTCTGGCCTTTCTTCTCTTTCTAAACCGTCCTGACTTTTTATTCCAGCTCTCTAACGCCACCCTCCCTCCACCAGGCCTCAATCTTCATCTCCTTTTTCATCATTAACGACCTGAATTAACGAGCAGCGAAGAAGATGGACACCCGCCGAGTTCTGGCAGATCTGTGGTGATGTTTGCAGACTCCGGTCCAACTCCAAGGCTTCGCATTTCACAGAGCGATAAAACTCTGGGATTCAGCCCAAACACAACAGTCGCCTGGACGCCTGGCAAAGCAGAACCCCAGCAGCAGATCCGAGGGACTGATGGAGGCCAGCTGAACAGAGATGACTCGATTAAAACTTCTACTGAACTAAAGGAAGTCCAGGATACGAGGCGTAAATCTAAGGGTCAAAATTGTACAAATAAATGACGTCTTTGAGATTAACTGCAGGAGAGACCAACCGAACCCTAATCCTGCCGTAAAGCTTAACTACTGGAGCAAAGTGACATCAGTCGATGCCAAAAACCGAGATGGAACAAACCAAAGAAGAAAGTTCTGCTCCAGATTTAAATGGACACATTTTCTAGAGAAAAGTTTGAACCATTTTTCCTGAACAACAAGAGCTATGCTTGGAGAAGCCGAAGCGAGGCTTTATAGGGGACTTTTTGAAAATAAACATTTAAAGCCAATAGTGTTATTGGAATCCAGGACGAAACCTTATTACCTTTGTAACCTTCAAAAAATATGGATATTTTGACGGCAAAAATTAATGTCAACGTAATAACAAGAAACGCCAACTTGTCCGAATATATTAACCTCTTACACCCTCAGGTGGTATAAATAAATTTCTGCCTCACAAAAACACACAAAAGTAAATCACTTATAGCCTCACAGCTATTAGATTTAAGAAGAAACTTTTGGTACGTCTGTAAAGGTAAGATGTCATAGAATGGTTTTCTGGTGTCAGCACCATTGTAGCTTTGACCCTGCCTGAAATATTAGGGACAAAATACAAAATATTTAGCATTTTTTGAACCTCGCCAACATTTTCTTTGAAATAAACATAGCAAAACACTACCAAAATATTATTTATAGCACAAAAAAGTAGTACAGAATTCCAAATCTAAATGTTGTGTAAAAATATACCAAATTTGGACTCAATCAGATGAATCATATTTATTTTAGAATGTTATTAGTGAGAAATTCCTTAGGCGGAGAGGCCATTTTGGCACATTTATCCATAAATGTCACCAAACTGTGCCAAATATGTTTTTTACATCAATACTGGGGGTTTGTTAAAATTACGAGGTCACGTAGCAGCTGGACCCGCCGGTGGGTCCGTAGGGTTCAAGGGGTTAAGAAATATAACAAAAGTGCTTCTATATGAAATGAGTGAAAAGAAACATTTTTTTTTTGATCAAACATAACCTTAGAGGCATTAATGTTGATACTGGCACTGATATTTTTTGGTTTATAAACCTAAATAATTGTAACTAGGCTTATTCAATTTTTTACTTTACTTTTTTACTTTTCAATTAGCTTTTTACCTTTTTTCTTGACTTGTTAACTTAATTTCCAGCAGGTAATATATCATTCAAGGGCTCATCTAATTGGTCAAATGCCAAAATAAGATGTACAGCCATGTAGCTGGATATAGATCTTGTGCTTCTAGACCTCGCTGAGGGACAGGGGGGGCTCCATTTTTAAGGAGTATACAAGTGATCAAAAACGTTAACTTGCCCTATAAAGGGTTCAAACTTCACTGCTGAGCACAGCAGTAGCAGCATCATGCTGAGGGGCAACTGGTGCATTAGAAAGAGTAGATGGAGTCATGAAGGATCACTGCCTCCAGATGGAAGCAAACATCTAGATGGTTTAAATTTGGACGTTCCAACTGGACCTGATCCAAAAGCTAACAGTTAGCTTCCAAAAAAATCCCTGCTAGCTCCCGGCCTAAACACAAGGTCCAAATTAGGAAAACAACCAGTTAGGGTCAGGTTGGCTCAACTGAAGCGGATTTCAACGTGGGCGGAGTCATTAGATGAGACGAACAACCATAAACCGCCCAGATGGGAGCCATTCAAGGATAAACCGGCAGGTTTTAGTCTCTGATCATGAAGTCTTTATTTAAAGATGTAACTAAATGTCTGTAAAATCTGTCTTTATATCAGACTTTTTGATGGCCTGAAATCTAAATTAAATGTTGAATTTTTTTTAAGACCTGTTAGAAACTGTGATGTATCTGAACCAGCTTTCTCACCTTGCAGAGAAGAACTAATGCGTTTAGTGACAAAGCGTTGTGGTAGCCATGGGTCCAACACATGGAAACAGAGGATGGAGGGAGGAAAGGGTTCCCACAGAGACGACACGCTTTAATAGGAGCTGGCAGACCGCGAGCGGCAGAGGCGGATCATAGAAAAACCCCACATTGAGATGTGACGACCATTTAAATCAGCTGGTCACACTGGGAGGTTTCATTTTGGTCCAGCAAAGGCTTCTGAACGCCTCAAGGCTCTTATCTGAGCTGGAGGTGCTGATAAATGACTTCACTGATCTAAAATTTAAACTCAGGCATGAACTCAACTTCCTGCTGGACTCAGAGACCCTGAAATAAAGCTTAAAAAGAGGCTAAAACAGCAGAAACAGAGGGACGACTGAAACATCCCACAATAAAATATTATCTGTTTAGATGTCCAAACATGTAGAAATATACACAGATGGAAATATGTAGAAATACTGAGGAAGGCGTGAACCTTTAGGAGGTAAAGACCAGAGCTTTTTCAGAAAGAACGGCAAGCCGTTTGCCTGAATGCTTCACATTTGTGTCGAGTGTTGCCATCAGAGGTTTAAGCAAGAATGGCTTCAGAACAGCCTGGAGCCTGAAATTAACCTGTGAACCTGCATCATTTAAGAAAAAAACACAAACATGCAGCTGGAAAAAAGCTGCTCTGTTGTTTGTCAGAAGGGCAACACACCCAGGTTAGCAATGAGGGAGAGAGAAGAGGTCGGCAAAGGTCGGAATTATTAAAGAAAATAGATTTTTTATGCAGAGAAAGGATTTCAAGAGAAAATTGTTCTTACCTAATTAAAGTGAACGTCCTCTGATGACATCAAACTCCTCAGTCACCTGAAAGAAACATCATTGTTAGGAATCGTGTGATAGCCAAACATGGAGGACGAGCTGAGCGGCCCGAGGCGATTTACAGGTTGAAGTGTTTGTTAGCGATCGGCCCAAAGAGGACGCCTTCCAGTTTGCCTGAGGAGATTTAACCTCTTAACATCCACCTCATTTTGGTTAATTCTTGCTTATTTTGCATAACCAAATGGAAAAGCCAATAACTTAGGAACTGTAAGTCCAAATTACACGTGTGATACATTATTTGAAAGCTAACACCCTCTAGTTTCTATATATATAAAATATAATAAAATTGGGGGACAGGAACACAGACGAAGCTGCATCAGTTCAAACATGACTCAAAGTTGTTTATTTTTATTCTCTGAAATGATAGCTCTTTTTTGAACAGCAGTAATAAAGACGTTCATGAGAAAAAGCAGGTTTTATTGTATTATAATTGTTCTACATTATTTAAAATACAAATGCAGGAAATTTCAGACCTGTAGCTATACCAGTTCCAGAGCTGTGGGGTTTGGAACTTTTGGTGTCAGCTTGGAGCTGCGAACAACGGCTCCACCTAGTGGTAAACATTTCACCGCTGGAATTTTATGCATTCTGAATTATTACCTTCACTTAAGGCCGACGACCCGGTGGGTTTTAAGGGGTTAAAGATCATAGTTTATCGACTTCTGATAACATCCAAATGATTTCAAATTCTTATACTCTCTGGTTTAAAACAACATTTACAGCTTAAGAAGGAACAAAGAGAACCAACCACCAAAATACAAGCTCACTGATTATCTGCAGTCCACTCGCATCATCAACAGCTTTATGATACCAGCTTTAAATCAATCACTGATTGGTCTGGAGAAGAGCAGATGTTTGCAGTGGTGACCAGCAGCCATCATCTGTCTTCATCTAAAAGGCCTCAGAGGAAGAAGAATCCACTGGACTTTGTTTCAAACTTGGTAACAAAGTCCAGTGGATTGTTTGACTTTTTTTTGAATGACTATGACATTGATGATGGAGAATCTTCACCAACACGACCACCACCCTAAACTGACAGAAAGAGCCATAACTGGCGGCCTAGTCAAAGTCCAGACTTAGGCCCCGTCCACACGAAGTCAAAACGAACACGAAACGCTAATATTTTCCAGAACGTTTGTCTTAAAGACGGAGACGTAAAATAAATGTGATCGACCACACGAATGCATGAAAACGCTGCAAAATGTATGCCAGGCCTGTAAGTGGCGCTGTGGTGCCAAAGCAAAAATAGGCGACGAACAGTTGGGGATGCGCAGTAATATTTATACATGGTTGCCCTGCGGGTCCGTTTTCGTGGTTCAGTCAAATTCAGGTGCTGAACTATGTCGTCAATATTGCTCTGTTCTTCCTGGAGATATTCCAGAAGAAGAAGATTCTGTTGTAAGCCCGACAGCAGGGTGAGTAGCATGAGCAGCAACCATTCAACACAGTACGGCGCCATTGTTGTTGTGATACTGTGTCGCGCATGCGTGTTTAGAGGCGACGCTATGACGCATGCGTGTAAGAAAAAAATGCGGTTAGAGCTTAAAGATGGAAACGCGAAAACGGCGTTTCAAAATCTTCCCACTCTGAAGGCTGAATACAAAAAAGATCGTTTACAGACCCCCGAAACGCCAGCTTCGTATGGATGAGAGGCTGGTTTGGTGAAAAATTTGTGAATTTAGGCCAGGGTTTGGCTTCGTGTGGACGGGGCCTTAAAGAGAACTTGTACTAAGGCTATAAAAACTGAAACTTTCATACAAACTGACAGAGTTTCAGTTGTCTTAGGTTCCACTGAAACTAGCGGGTTAATGCATGTTTTTCAAACGTGGGTCGACCCGCTAACAATCGGCATTTGGCCCCCTTCCCATTGGCAAAAAAGCTGGTCTAACCCCTCACTGGCAGCTGCGTGGCCTCTGTCCCGCCACAGCTGTGTGTCTTGTGAGATTACACTGGGTTAGGGTTGATCATGTTACCAGTGTGACAGAAATCAGGGAAGTAAACAATGGAGAGCAACATGGAATTTTATTGTTTCTCTCTATTATCTGTCTGAATCCCTCTCACCAGAGCTGCTCCATGTTTATCCAATGGAAGCAGAGTTGGTTCTGCTGGTTAGATCAGAAGCGACTGGCGCTGTGTGTTGACGTCCTTAAGTTGCGTTCAATGGTGTCACGTAATTTAGCGTTTAAACCCGGCTCTGGTGTTCTGACAGCATGCCAATCAGAGCCGAGGGGGTTTAACGTCGGTCGCTTGCCGAGTCGTTTGACCCGCATCAGTGAGCCGTTCCCACTGCCACTAAAAGCCCATTGTTCCCGGGTTTAAACCGGATTTTTGGCCAGTCTGAAAGGGGTACCAGCGGTGATGATGAAATCTACAAACCCAGTCAGCTGTCATCAAAGAAGAAGAATGTGGCTCCGTATCCCCAACACGCTTCTCTGATCTTAACTTGTACATAAAAGTTAAAAAATATATTTTTTTCTCCCTTCTATTTCACAATCATGTTATACTTTGTGTTCATCTAAAATCTCATTTAGTTTGTGTTTGAAAGTGAAAAGACTATTAATGTTCTAATGAGCTTTAACAGAATTGCTGAAAGGAATGACACTGGATATAATCAGGCTTAATGTTAATAAAATATCTACAGAACTAAATGGAAGATTGGGCTATTTTCTTCTTCTTTAATCAACAAACAGCAACATGAGTTAATGAGGTACCGTCTGAGTATTTTAGGTCTACTGGAACCATAATAGAAATTCTGTTCCGCATAATGAAGTCGGCTTCCTCAGCTACAGTAACGCCTTTGTAACACGCCGAAGCCAAGCTTATGCTCGGTGTAAAACATAATTATTTCTCATAATTAAATCAAACAAACTGCCAGCAATTGTGTATTATCTTTCAAAAGAGAAAGCGAATTACGGTGCGGAATAAAAGCTGGAGCTCTGCCGGGTTTGAACAGCCTTTCATCAGGAAACACGCCACACTGAAGGCTTTTTCATTTGAAACCAGAAGACAGCCTCTGTGCTTCCTCTTATGATGATAACAGGAGCTCAACAAGAAGGGGAATGTTTTTAAAAGAGAAGATAAAGAAAAAAATCAATTTCTAAAAGAACGTGGACAGAAAGCGGCAGCGAGGCGAATGTCTGACGAGAAGGAGCACATTTAGCAGGTATGTTTATTCCCTGATGGAGACATGGAGGACGGTGCTCCACTCTTCTGCAGAAACCAGAATTAGCGTCGCCCACGCCGCTCTGAAGCCAGCAGCGGAGCAGTGTGTGTGTGTGAAGTTTGTCTGGCAGCACTTCTAACAATACTGAGGCCCTCGATGCTACCCAACAAACAGCCCGGTCTGCCTCCACTCTATCTCAAAGAACCATATGCCTCTGGATCGCAGAGCCGGGCCGCCCATATGTTCTGATCCAAACATCCAGATGGCGGAGCATCAGACGCCATGTTTTCCCTTCTATCATCTCAAAGTACCTGGGAACGGTACTGGCAGCAAATAGTCCATCAGCTGGGATTTAGGAGCACAGCCTGGTTAGGCACTACAATTATTTTATTGTGAAAAACTCTAGAAGTGACAGAGAAAAACTAGAGTAAGTCATATGGTCGTTTTTGTTTCCATGCAATCCTCACTGTGTGTTAACAGTGGTGGTTAATCTTGATCCTACAGGTTCCTCTTATTAAGCCCTTCTAGGTTGTTCATCCCATTTTGGCAAAGTTTATAGAATTAATAAAGTTCTGCTAAAGTTGCAGGAGGAAGAACAGAAGAAAATATCAATGTTTTCCTCAATTAGTTGGGACAGAAATCACTGGATTTCTATTATTTATAGTTATTCTATCAGCAGAGCATCCTACAGATGCTCATGGTTAATACACTACAAAAACACTTTGTTGAGTAGCTTTACTTCCATTTTTATTAGTAAAGTCTCTCAAATTTCAATGTTAATAAAACACCAAGAAATATTAGATAACAGCGACCGAATCGTTAAAATTTTTTTAGTACAGAAAGGCCTCAGGCTGGGATCTAACCCATCATCTCTGCACTGAAGGACTGAGTTAGAAACTGATACATTTTTTTTTTTTTTTTTACAGAATATTAAGAAAACTTAATAATTAGAAAAAGATTTAAGGAATGAATTTTAAGCTCTGCTTCTTGTTGTGAGGATCTCTGTTTCTGAAAGTTTAAGCAGAGCAGTGCATTCATGATGTTCCAGAATCTTCTAACCTGACTCCGCCAGATGGATTTGCTCCGCATATCCATATGGAAACCTTCCGTTGAAGTAATTTTGGGAAGGGGCGAAAATACTGGTTAGCTGATTGGCCTATGTTGGTGATAGACGGGCCAAATAAACCAATCAGATCAACGAAGCATATGACGTACTAACAGCCAGGCTACTCTTGCCGAAACCAGTCGGGAGAAGAGCAAAAACATCTTTTCCTCTGAGAAAAGCCTCCAGAGCAGTGTTTTGCTCTTCTTTCAGTGAAGAAATACTCTGTAATTCCCATAAAACTTGCTCGATAGCCACGCTAATGCTAGTTTCATCGGCTGAAGCCGCCATGTTCTTTAGACTGAACTGTCGCGCTTCTCGTTGCGTCACACCTCAACCCGCCTCAAAGCCAACGCTGATTGGACGTTCGTTTGGTGAACGGCTCCAAATTTTCTTTAACAGAGAGTCTCCAGACTGATCTGCGAGTGAAACCTTGAAAGCTCGCGAGATCAGGATGGTCTCACCAGGCTAAGAATCTTTGGCTAGATTTTTAGATTATTTTATGTTGCATTTGCTGCTGTTAACAAAAAAGTAGGATTAATCCATGTTAGGATAATAATCATCGATGATGTGTGAGTTTATTACGCCTCAATATTAGCTGCCTCTTGTGTGTCAGAACTGACGTTTTCCCCAGTAGTTTATCTAATTAGGACAGTTCCTCGGTCCAGATATACACTTATAATCTTCATTCTGTACGTGGCAAAGATTTGGGAATGGAAT